GGCCCTTCTGCAGCCACCACATCCACCTAGGGCCATTGAATCACTTTCTCTGGGCATCACTGTGCTCTGCACATGCTTCTGAGATTTCCTCCGAGGGGACTGTGAGGATTCGCTCCTGTTCTGTCTCCCTTATGTTTCACCCATGATCCAGACTTCCTCATCCAGCTTGTACCCAACAGTGCACAGGGCTGTTAGGGGTGCTGTGGGAGGTCCCTATGATGGGCACATCCCCTCCCTTGGATTTCATCCCACACTAACTCCCACAACTGCTTCTTTAGCTCAGACTGCTCCTGAACTCCAGACCCACGTGTTCAACTGGACGCCAAGTTTCTAAGTCTCTCTAGGATCTGAGCCTTTGTTTCTACACCACCCTCAATCCCTCTTTCAGGGGTCTGTGTCTCCACATGGCACCACCATCTACCCGAGTGCTAAAGGCAACACTAGCAGGGTCATGCTTGATTCTTCTCTTTCTGCTATTGCCCCATCCAATCCATCAGTGAGACCTGTAGGACCTTCCTCAAAACTGATCCTGGTTCACATCTAGCTATTTCCTACCACCTCCACTGCTACCTCCAAGGCACTGGGCTATCTGCTGCTCTTCCTGCTCTGTTTTCCTCTGCAGGGTCCACTCTCAAAAGAACAGCCAGGACATGTCAGTGTGAATCCAAACATGTCACCACTCCTTCTTAAAGCCCTTCTGGGGCTGCACAGCCTCCCTACAGTTAACCCTGAGGCTCAGGAGTGCTCCCTGGCCCCTGGCTACCATTCTATCACCTTCCTTTCCAACCCCTCCAGCCTTCATTCCCTCTGCTCCCATACTCTACCTTCCTTAAATGAGCCAAGGCTTTGAGTGTGTCCCATGGCTCATTCCTCCTTGCCCTCAAGAACCCTGCCTTGGGCTCCCTCCCTTCACCTCGGAGCGCCTACTGCATGGTCTTGCGCCATATTGATGGTCTGCCTTACCATCTTTCTTCCCCACTAGAACTTCATCTCCATGAGGGCAGCAACAACTTCACCTGCATGGTTCATAATGATGGGATTTCCAGCACCTGGACGGGGTGTCTGTGGGACTGCAATTCAGGCTTGCTGTAGGTGCAGTTTTGGCAGCTGTCTTATCTCCTACATTAAGATGGAAGGAAGTGAGGCTCCAGCTGACCTGGCAGGGCTGGGCTGATTCAAAAAGGCCTTCAAAAACCTGCACATGTTAGAACTTCTCTGTCAGATTCACTCCAATCCAACTCTCCTCCTGTGGAGACAGACTCAACACCACAACTCAGAGGCGTCCCCACTTTTTCTGACGTCTAGACCTCAACGTCCTGTGTGTGCAGTCACTGTGTGCAGTGACACAGACATGCCTCTGCCTTTGGTCCCACATACTTGCTGGAGCATCATGCCATCTCATTCCATTCAGAGGCGTCCGAAAGGGGCAGGGATGCAAGACGTTACTTTCCAAACCTAGAGACTCATGATCTCTGAGTCTTAAGTGTGAACTCATCAGGATAGCCTGGTTGAGAGACGAATACTTTCTTGAGTTCTCAGGCTAAATGAAGAATGTGAGGCATCTTCTTTCCTCTCTCAGGGGGTCACTGGTTTTATATCCTGAAGACCTGGCCCTCCTATCGTCCCCGCCTATCATGGGGCCGGAGTAGGTCATGTCTTCCGGGGTTTTAAGGCCTGCGGAGAATGGCACTCCCTCTCCTGTGGGTTCTGTGGGAGATGAAGCTTCACTACTCGATACAAAGGCTCCTCAAACAGGTAGGGCTGTCCATGTGCCTTGGGGAGCTGGGGGGCCACTCTGGACGCCTGCCCTGTGCTGGGCTCGGAGGGAATGGAGCTGGAGTATGGGCCTGGGTCACACTGCTATCTCACGTTAGCTCCCTCTGATTGCCCTCAGGGCACTGCCGCCAGCTCCTTTCCGTTCTGCCCCCACTTGCTGGTGGCAGGTGCTAGCGTCTGGGGTACTTTTCTGCTGGGAGTTGTTTTTAGGCATGTAATCTGTGGGTTTTATTTATTTTCCCTCCCAGTTAGGTTGCCCTCTGAGATTCGAAAACTTCCCCCAGGCCCTCCAGTGAGAGGGTTTCCCGGTGTTCGGAAACTTCCTCTATTAAGACTCCCTTCCCAGGACGGGTCTCCGTCCCTAACTCTGTTGTCTCTCTTTTTATCTTTTATATTTTGTCCTACCTCCTTTCAAAGACAATGGGCTGCTTTTCTGGGTGCCTGATGTCCTCTGCTAGCGATCAGAAGTTGTTTTGTGGAGTTTGCTCAGTGTTCAAATGATCTTTCGATGAATTTGTAGGGGAGAAAGTGGTCTCCCCGTCCTATTCCTCCGCCATCTTAGTTCCCTCCCTCGGGCCTGGATCACATGAGCCCCCAGGGAGGGAGAAAAGTCCCCCACGCTGAGACCCTGAGACAGAGCTTATATTTCCTTCCAAACACAACTTGTATTATGTCTTGAACAAGCAGACTTTTTTCACTAAAATTTTTTTGACATCCATATTTCCATCTCCCATAAACCCAGTAAATAATACTGCTTATCAGTGGTTGATTCACAGTGATCTGAACACTAAATTACTGGACAAGGGAACTGACACGCTATATGTGGCCATGTCGAGCAGCTTTCTCCCCACTGTTCCTCAGCGGAGCTCTGTCCGCCCCATGGAGAGTGACAGCAGCGCCCGAGGGACGAAGCCTACGCCGCCTCCCAGCGCCCCGGCTCCTCACCCAGCTGAGGTGGGGGGCTGGGTGGGACTCCTGGGCCTCAGCCAGATTCCCACCAGGATCCAGGCACAGAAAAGCCCTGAAGGATGATCAGTCTATGGCTTAAAGAGAAGTACAGAGAAGTCGCTGGATGATAGGTGGGGGGCAGAGAAGAATGCACATTTATTCTACCCTCCACTATTTCCCAGTCCTCATCTCCCTGTTCTCGGCAGAACGCTGATATTCAGACTCTCCCTGCCCGTGATCATGGTCCTGAAGACTGGGGCCTGGCCAGCCTCTAAAGGCCTCCTTCAGCACTGACAGGGTGCTATCAGCAGCCCCTGAAAATCAAAAGAGAGAGTCACAGAACACACATGCCATGCGCTAAGTTGGCTGCTTCAGTGACACCAACAAGGGTGTTGGTAGGTTGACACCGACAGATTAATGGGAGGACAAACAACTCCCCAAGAGCCATTTGAAGGAGCAGAGGCTCAAGGTTTTCAAAGGCAGGAGAGAAAGGTAGTGAAAGGAGGCATGCAAGTGCACCCAGGTCAGAGGAAAACCCAAAATGCAAAAGCAAGTCAGTTGACTCATCATCAGAGGGTGAACATTTGCAAAGAGTCAAACAGTGCCCCTTTAAAAATGCTGGTTTGGAAGGTAAAATGTAAGTAAAAATTAATATGTGATCCATGGGAAAAAAATAACAGAAAAGACCTTCCAGAAAAGCAAAAGCTCTTGCTGAGCACGATATGGCTGGAGGAGAAGGCTGGTATGGTGGACTCCATGCCTTTTACCAGGACTAGGGATTTAAATGAGGCAGCAATTATCAGTGTTACTGACCATGCTCGAGGCTGAACTTTGTCAAATGCTTGGTTACTATGGCCTTCAAGAGAAATTAGTTCATGAATTTTTTTCCTTCGTAACCTATACCAGTTTTCCCTTCTCTGTGAATAGTGAATATTAGGTTTAAACTATCTCATAGAAGCATCTTTAAAATAGCCAGCCTCTAGAGGGAGGGCTTTAGTGTTAGTTGTTCAGTCGTGTCCAACTCTTTGCGACCCCATGGACCTTACGTGGACTGTAGCCTTCTAGGCTCCTCTGTCTATGGAATTCTCTAGGCAAGAATACTGGAGTGGGTTGCCATTTCCTCTTCCAGAGGACCTTCCCCACTCAGGGGCTGAACTCAGGTCTCCTGCACTGTGGGCATATTCTTTACCGTCTGAGCTACTGTGGCTAATCCAGAGAGAAGACCTGGAGGTAAGACAGAACCAGGTGTGGTGACTGGTCTCTGAGCTGCTTTTGGCAGCTGTGCAGCAGTGGAGAAAACAGTCACAACATCAGATCCAACACAGTTATCGGGAATTTTGATCCTGTTATTAAGCCAAATACCCCGAGGGTGAGGCTTCCAAGTCCTGGGCTGAGACCTGGCTGCCAGTCTGTCCAGCACAAGTAAGGCCCCACTCACCACCAGCCCCCCTTCATCTTTGGGGATTTATTGGCCCCACAGAGGATGCACAGGGGCCTGAGAAGGGCACAGGATCCTCTACACGCATGTCTGAGAAGCCCCAAACGTGTGACTATGCAAAGATTTATAGTGCAAATGATCATGAGTGAGACAGAGGTTGCCTGTCTCAGAAAGAACCAAGGTCTGTTTCAGAATTTGTTTGGAACTAGTTAGTTTATTCTTAGGAACTCCAAAGAAGACAAGTTTGGTTTACTCCCTGAATCTTGTCCTCACTGGGATGTCAGAGAAACATTAAGGAGAGCAGGAAACCAAAGTCTGGTTGTATGCTTCCTTAACCGGGAGCTGGGGGTGCAGATGTGGGTGGGGGGTGGGCAGGAACAGTTCCACAGGGCACCTTGCTGTCTAATGCTCAATCTCACCAGGCCGGCATCCATCCTTTTCAGGTCTTTGCAGAGGGGAAAACTGAGGCTGAAAGAGGTCATGAACTTGCCTGTGTCCACAGGAAGTGCCAGGGTCTCCTATTTCTCTCCAAGCGTAGGGTCTTTTGTTCAGGACCCAATTGGGCCATCGTGGTTGGATGGGAAAGGAGAGAAGTTAAGGCAAAGCAGCTTGGAGTTCTCTTTGGGGGGACCTGATCTGGCCAGGCTGGATTAGGAACAAAGAGAACTCTCAGGGGATCTGAGCACCACGTGCTTCTCACCCCACACCACTGGCACCAGGGGAGGGCCGGGCAGGGCCTGCAGGCACCCTGGTTGACAAAGAGTGGAGTTGGACCGCACATCCCTCTCGCCCCCGCCCCCTCCTCCTGACCGGGGGGGGCCTGAATGGGGGGACTCACCCGCCTGCTCCAGGGCCACCATGGTCGCCTGTTCGATCAAGTCCCGTTCCACGAAGCTCCGGAAGTCCTCGCTGTACACACTCAGGTCCGGAAGCTGGAACGTGTAGATGGGCATCTCCAGCGGGAACTGCTCGCTGCTGCACTCACTCGCCACGTGGGACCGCGCCAAGGACACGATGGCCGAGCTGGCGTGGGAGATCCCCCGCGAGAGCCGCTTCTCTGCATGGGGGGAAGTGGGGGTGCTGAGTGAGGGGGGCTCCGTGGGTGTGCACACTAGCCCACATGACACATCCCACATGTGCGCACACGAGCACACAGGATGCATATGCACATGTAAACATACATGGCACACTCATGCAGCACACATGGACACACACACGTGTACACGCTCACCACACATGCAGAGGCACACCCATGGACACCTGCATACCCATTACCTCCCCGTCTCCAGCCTTGCCACCCCCAGTGTTCTCAGCAGGCCTACTTCATGCTGGGTTAACATCACCATCACCTGGCACACGGCACTTAGTCACGAAACCTCTTAGAAGGAGGCAAAGGGCAAGTCCACCACACAAATATTCCTCAGCATCTGTAAAGATCAGCAGCCTTGCTTCCTGGGTCTTAAGTTACATGGAACTCAGTTCAGCAGAGCTCTAGAGGCATAAAATTCTACACAGGGGACTTCCTTTGCTTTTATGCTTTTGTATTTTTAAAGTGAGAAGCAATCCATTGGGCTTCCTCCACAGTGGCTTGGATTTTTAGATAGGTCACCTCTACTAAAGTTACTCTTATAAACACACCCTGCAGGAAGATTCCCAGGACACAGATATTAAGCCATCGCACGCCTCTATTCTGTCTGGATTTTCTATTGTCATGGCAATCTTAAAAATTTTTATTTTGACTAGACTTTCCAACAAGGGATGAGAAATGCACTGTAGAATTTCTCTAAAATACAACAGTTACTTTATTAGGAAGTTGACCATCTGATTTAAATGCCACCATCAAGAAGTAATATTTTAAAAAGCATACTTATTTTTTAAAGCCCTGTGCTTAATAGCAAAATAATTCTTAAATGTGTGATATTAGGAATAAGTTTTCAGTTTTACAATCAATATTTGTAACAATGAAGAATTCTTTTAGGAAGGGACTAGTCCTCTTTTAATTTTGCCCAGAAAACAAAATTCAGACAGGCATTTCAATGAATATTTTCTAATATTGTGGTAGACTGTGGTAGACTCATTAGTACATGTGATCATTTAAGTTGAATGGATTCCCACTCACATTAGCCTGCTCATCGGTTAGGTTCTGTGCTCTGCTGATGCCTCTCTGAGCCGTGCTTCTGCCCCTGCTGTTCTGGCAGGAAGCTCATGCCCATGCCTTCATCAAGAAGGAAAGCTCTCTTCCCCCACATGCAAGAGTAGTTGACAGCACTGCCATTAAAGTAATTTTGCTAAAGCAGATGAAAAACAAGAGGCCTTTGACCCTGGTATAAGTTAATTTTAAGCTCAAACTAAATTCTCAGAGGCCTCATATATTTGCATGGTAAGTCTCAGAGACAGAGTACTTCAAAATGAATAGTTGTGATTCACCTTCAATTTCATTCTGAGATGAATTAAAGTTGACTGAAGTTTGTTGTATTTTGAAGAAGGGCGAGAAGAGAGGTCAGACCACACAGGCCATGAGCAAGAGGAGCCACGGAGCACAGGGGCCAGCTGGTCGTCCTGTGCCTGGGGCAGGTCTCCCAGGGCAGGAGTAGAGGGGACCCCACACCCCTCTGCCCCTTGCAGCCCTGGCTGAGGTCACATTTCTTGCCACCAGCTACCTTTCTGGAATCTGGGAAAATAGGAACTGCTCCATCCTTCAAGACCCAACAGTTTGCTTGAACACCCAAGGTAACATGAACCCACATTGCTCTCAGCAGAGGCAAGGTGCTGGGCAAGGTCATCCATACGTCTTCTTGGCTTACCTCAATCAGTACCTATTGTCAACTGATGAAGACCTTGGAAACGCTGTGACTCATAGTATAAATTGATGCTATTGAGCCACTCCAAATATTAATATTTGGAATCTGAGGGGAAAAGTCCTTTTGAACTAAAAGTGAATTATGTTAAAGATCATATAACAAGAAACATATGCTTCGAAATCTAACTCCTTCCAACCACCACCTCCATGAATGCACATACATAATCACACAGACACACAGACACACACACACACACTCACATGCACATACACTCACAAACGGATTCTTTAAACATGAATTCAGCAATTCTTCTTTTGGAAGTATAAATAAAATAAATAAAACAGGAATTACCATGTTCAAAGTTATACCCCAGAGAAATACAGAGAGATTTTTAAAAAAATACTGAGGGAATATACAGAATTTTCTGACCCTTGACAAAGCCAGCTCAAGCACTTATGATTTAGTATAGCAGAAGGAACTATATTCAATATCCTGTGATGAACCACAAAGGAAAAGAATGTAAAAAGAATGTATACATACATATAACTGAATCACTTTGCTGTATAGCAGAAATTAACACACTATAAATCAGCTATATTTCAATAAAAATAAATTAAATAATGAAATTTAAAAACCCACACTAACAAAAAGGTATCTATGATTTAGGCCAGGGGATGTGTATTAACTCTGTTTTCTTATTTTCTGTATTCTGGAGGCTCTGGCATCTGGGCTCTGAATGTATTCTGGAGGCTCTGAATGGGGAGAGAATTTCCATACAGAATTATCCAATTCTTGGAGACACCAAAGGACTCACCCAGGACAAACCAATTCAGAGCCTATACTCTGGATCACCTCCTCTATCTGGCTCACACCAGCAGGCCATGCCACTGCCCTAATTACCCCTGGGCCAGGTGCCAGACAACAAGAGATAGCCCTTATACCCGCCGAGGGCTGCTGAAATTACTCATACCAGCCAATCCTAAGTTTGTTTACCCTGCCCTGTCTTTCCCACAGAAACACAATACAGGCCCCTGCCCTTGTTTTCCTCTGTCCCTTCTGCCTTCTGACCAACCCTGGTGCTTCACCATATAACCCTACAGGGTGTGTCATGCCTCCTGTTTCCAGGGAACTGTGAGTATAAGAACCTCTTCTTCTAGGACAGTCATGTCCCTGTCTGTGTGTCTTATCGTATCTGACAGGTAGACAAAAATCTTCCCGACCCAGGGATTGAACTCGGGTCTCCTGCATTGCAGGCGGACTCTACTGTCTAAGCCACCAGGGAAGCCAACTTTTCTAAAAGGGATAGATATAAATATTTCAGGCTTTGAGGGCCATACACTTCTCAGTCACAGCTACTCAACTCTGTCTCTGCAGCATGAAAGCAGCCATAGACAGTGAATAAACAATGGGTTCTAATAAAACTTTGCTGAAAAAACAGGCAGTGGCCAGAGGTGGTTCATGAGTTATTGTTGTTGATTTAGAATATGGAGGGCTTTATCTTCAATTTTAGGAGACTGTGACTGCAGGAAGAATTCAATTAAAGGGTATATATAGATCTAATTCAGAAACTACAATTTCTACTTGTTAAAAATATAGGGCATCCTTGGTGGTCCAGTGGTTAAGAAGTCACCTTGCAAGGCAGGAGATGCTGGTTTGATCCCTGGTTTGGGAAGATTCCACATTCTTCAGGCCAGCTAAGCTTGTATGCCATAACTAGTGAGCCCACAACAACTGAAGCCCACAAGCCCTAGAGCCTGTGCTCTGCAACAAGAGAAGCTACCACAATGAGAAGCCTGCTCGCCACAACTAGAGAAAGTCCACTCAGCAATGAAGACCCAGCACAGCCAAAATTAAATAAATTAAAAAAATACATATGTTTGTTTGCAAGGCTCAGTTAATGAAATTATGTTATGATAGACTTCTGTGTTTTTTTTTTCCTGATAAAAATAAGATAGTGGCAAGTATCCATATAAGGCCCTGATTCTGCTAGTCTGTCTGAGAACAGAGAGAAGGAGCCTTCTAGACCCTTCCCTGGGAGGATAAGATAATGGGTTAGGTTGTTTGCTGCTCAGAAAGAGCAGGAACTGCCAAGCTGTCAGCTCTCTGGATCTCCACTGCATGAGAGACGCTGGGAGGCTGTCCAGTGTGGTGCTGAAAGAGCACACAGTCACAGAAAGACCAAGCTAAATGATTAGAAGAGGTCAGATCTAAGGGCAGAATGAAGGAGACTTTAAGAACGGGATAACAAGGGGGCCAAGTCAGTGACCACACCTCAACATCCTCTTCCTAACCCACCCAGGAGGCCCACAGGAGTAGATGGGTGGGAATGGGCTGAGGGCGGGTGTTCTGGCTGTGCTTTTCCTCTCCGCAGCTAGCCCTGTGGGGGTAACTGCCTGAAGCATCACCACCACAATGCAGGCCAGCCACCGCCATGGCCAAAGCCACTGGAGGAGCATCAGGGCAAATCTCATGGAGCTGGGTGACAACCACAACAGGAACAGGTGGGCTGGCCCCAAGCCTTCTTTCTTTCCTCCTACACTCCCTGTGAGCTGACAGTTACACAAGAAAGTGGAAGCTCCTACAAATGAGTAATTTCTAGAACAGAGGAACTGAGAGTTCCCTAAGCAGTAAAGCCGACTGTGGCGAAGAGAGCCAGTGGAGAACATTTTGAGCCCACATTAAAGCAGTCAGAGCTAGCCACTTTGAGTGCACTTTCCTCCATGCTCTCATTCAGAGGAACACAAAACAGAGTCCATGCCTTAGTCCTTTTCCCCTGATACCACGAGCTAAGATGGCTGGTAACTGCAAGGTACCGTGTGTTCACAGGCAAAACTTAGGAAATGTCTCAGCAGTGAGAACATGGTTATAGAAAGTTCACAAAGTATTTGGGCTGGAATGCATCAGGAGGACAAGGTTTTAAAATAAACCTAGGAGATATGTTCAAAGAGATAGAATATTACAATGTGAAACAATAAAAATAATGAGGAAGCAGGAATTTGGAATGAGAAATGCTGATTAACAGAACGGTTCACGTGAAGAATAAATTAGGATGTTAGAAGAACAAGTCAAGGCAATCTCTTAGAAGACATGTAAATGAGATGCAAGAAGACAATGGAGGAGTGGAATGGTTTTAAGGGAAAATAATTTGGACCCAGATTGTTATTCCACCAAACAAAAATTTAAGTACATCATGTAAACATCCTTAGGTACTTATAGCCTTAGGAGACTGACCAGGCAAAATTTTTTTTAGCAAAGTCTTTGGAAAAGTATTCTTTTAGTAAAAGATAAATATGAGTAAATAAAGAAGTTGACTGTTGTCTAAACAAGCAATAAAAAGAACCTAAATATGACTGAGGGCACATGGAGGTAGGAGGGGGAAGATAAAAACAGGGTAAAATATAGCTGTTGATAATTTTAAAAATTAATAGAGAGAAAACCTAAATATAGGTTTTAATAGAATAGAGGTAACTATAACATAAGGAGAATATATAACTTTCAAACTAGTTGAAAAATTTACTTAGCCAGAAAAGATAGAAAAGGAGAAAAACACATATAAAAAAGCATGGCAAATAAAAATGCAACATAAAGAAGCACAGACAGGACAATAATAAAAATAAAATAAGTAGATTAAATTCACTGCTTAAAAGACAGACTCTTGGGTTGAATCATAGAGTGATACTTGATGATAAATTACTTACAATAATTATATTTGATATACAAGGATAAGAAAGGTTGAAAAAATGTGATTCCAGGCAATATGAACCAAGAGAAAGGCAGGGGAGAGGTTTAATATCAACTAAAACAGATTTAAAGATAAAAACAATTATATGGGACATAGAGATACTCTATATATTGTTAAAAAACACATTAGAGCCAGACAACCTCACAATTGTGAATACATACGCATCTACAAATACAGCCCAAAATGTAGTGGAAAGAGAAGAAAAGTTAAGAGAAGAAACAGATAACGAGCATTAAACTTTCTAACTCAAGTTTGGCTTTTCTGGACAACAGAGTAAGTAAGCATAGAACAATAATCCAAGATAGAGTTTCCAATATAGCCTGAATAATCAGGTTGAGCTAACAGAAACAGACAACAATGACTCACAGCATGGGAAGGTTGACCTAAGGCAACTGGAGAATTAGAATCCATTGTGTAAATATTAAGAGGAGTATTAAATCATTTCAGATCTTATGATTGTATATGTAGAAAATCCAAGAGACTCTCTGAGAACAACTAGTATTAATAAGAGAATTTAAGACATGACTGGATAAAAAATAAATTGCTTTTATTGTGCCTAAACTCTTAACAGAATGTGAATAAATGGAGCAGTATATGAAATATTCTTGAGTGGAAAAACAGTATTATAATATGCTAATTATCCCTGAAATAAAATAAAAAAATCCAATCCACTTCCAATCAGAATTCCAATTTTAAGATTAATATGGTGGAATAAATATCCAAAAATCGTAAAAAGTTTTGAAAAAGAATGGCAATAAAGGAACTAGCCTTTGCAGAGTAATACTATATGAAGCTATATGAGTCAAGTATAGCAGGTTGGGTGGTCACAGAGTCCAGAAACTGAGTCAAATACATTTTTGCTAAGTTAATGTACAGCAAAGTTGGCATGTTAGTTCAGTGGGAAAGGGATGCTTTATTTAAAAAATATGCTCGACTATCTCATTCTCAATCCAGAGAAGCAAAACTAGATTCTTAGCTATTATTTATAAAAATTTCAAATTGCTTATAAGACCTAAGAACAAAATTTAAAAAACAAATACAAGAAAACATGTCAGTAACTTTGAATTTCAGGAGAATTTCTAAAGAAAGGGAGAGGTCACCCATTTAGTCATGAATGTATAGTAATATAAACATTTTGTAAGACAGAATTTTCTGTGAATAATGATAAGGCAAATAATACTGTGGGATGTATATATATATGTATACACATATATATGCAAAATACATTTGTAGTTTAGTCTTCGTTATAAAGAATGCTGCAAATTGATAAGAAAAATGCAAACAAAACAATAGAAAAATGGGCAAAGTACCTGAATAAGAATATCACAGAAGAGGAAATCCAACTGGCTAACAAGCAAATGACAAGATGAAACTATTTTTTACCCTTCAAAGTAGAAAAACAAAGTAGGAAAACCATCATGAGAACACCCAGTCCTGGCAAGAATGAATGGAAACACCCAGTTTCACACATGGTGAAAAGATGTGTTTGGGAACCAAGTCCTGATGTTATTAAACAAAAAAACACATGTGTTGGTACAGCAAATCCACCTTGGAAATGCCAACCTATAGAAATAAAAGCACTAGTATGTACAAATTATGGTATAAAGTTTATTATAGCAGTGCCTGTAATGTCAAAAAACCCACCACTAACAACAAAATCTAAGAAGAAACAGAATCACCATGAACAGACATGGTTTAAAAGAAATCATATACTATGGTGTAAAATATGAAGAGAATATGATCACAATCTATTGCTCAAGGAAACCAGCACTCTGCCAAATGCAGTATGTGCATCTGACTTAGATGTGCTTGCATTCTGAACAAGCAAAGTAAGAAGGAGCAGGACACAGAACCGGATGGGGCCACTGGTTAGTCTCCGGGAGGTATGGGAGATGTGGAGAAGAAAACTCTAAGGTTTCCTTTATATATATTTGTTACAATGAAATTTTCCCAGTTCGGAAAAAAAGAATTCATCCCATGAAACACATGGATGATGAATATCAGTGTCGAACAGGTTTGGAGTCTATGCCACTTGGGAAATAGTTTTGCAAGGGTGAGAGATGTCAAGTCTGGGAAAACCAGGACTCCAGGAGGAATGTGGGGTCCCAGAGAAGTGGACTCACTCTCCCTTGCCCCTGAGGCAGGAATGGAAGCTGTAAATGACAGGGTGAGGTGTGGTGCCTGAAGAGCCCCATCTGCCTGCAGCTGGGAAAGATGATGACCTCACCCTTCTGTGCACCCCTGCCCCAGCCCCTTGTAAACCAAGCTGGACCAGGAAGCTGGTGCCTGGCAGGCCCTGAAGCCGGTACCTTGGGCGATGTCGTCCTGCCTGGGCAGGCAGGGCCGCTCGGCTGTGTGCCCGGGCGGGGGTGGCTCTCGCTCAGGCTGTTTGGGGCACCTGCCCTCGTTGAACACAGGTGGAAGATTGGCTGTGTGCACCTGTCGGAGCTGCTCATAGTCACTCAGAGCGGCCGTGAGGTCCCAGTTTTTGCCTGGAGATGAGAAATGACAAGAGATTACAATACTGATGCATGAATAATGGTCACATGTTAGGAGAGAACCTTGCAAAGAAGGGTCTCTGTTAGCACCTGTTCACTCAAACTCCCCACCAGTGGTTCTTGTTTGTTTTTTTTTTTAAGTTCTTTTCCTTTTTTGGTTTTTCACTCAATGGTTTTTAGTATAGTCACAGAGTTGTGCAACTATCCACACTATACAATCCCAGAACATTTTCATTACCCTTTAAAAAAAAACAAACCTGAAGTACAGTTGATTTACAATGTTTCAGGAGTACAGCAAAGAGGTTGTTATACCTACACATATATAGGTCTGTTCTTTTTCAGACTCTTTTCCATTATAGGTTTTTACTAGATATTGAATATAGTTGCCTGTGCTATACAGTAGGTCCTTGTAGTTTTAGTTCTCATTTTTCGAAGGAGTAAAATGTCCTGATGTGTACTCTCTAAAAGCAGAATTTCTCATCCATGTCTGAGGTCCCTCTGAGGTACATGACGTACCTAGTATCCTGGCCTTAGATTCATAGACCCTGCAGAACCTTCCATGCCTCTGAAAACCTAGCTGCAGAACTTATTTTCTGAGGGAAGCAAAGCACAGAGGAAGAAAAAGTAAACAAAAAGAATTTCCACTTTGGGCTCTCGCTCAGTATTTTAGTGCTTCCTTGAAGCTTAGTTTGGAGAGTGCAGAGGCTTGGGGTGGGGGGGTGCTCGCTGAGTGTGGGAGGCCACCTCAGAGCTCAGGGGATGAACTGGATGAGACATCAGGCAAGACAGCTGTGCCCACCTTGGGCACACTTGGCCAGGATGGGTGCTGGGGGTTCACATCATGAGGGGAAGCTGATGGGGTCTGGACTCAGAGTGGGAGCTCTGAACCCTGACTCCGAGACTTGGTGGACTTTCAGTGGAAGGAAGGAGGTAGCTCACATTGCATCTAATTCCATTAGGCAACCATGTACTTTTTAAAGGCAGAGAATTAAAAGCTTAGCTCTAATTTTAAAAAGCAAGTAAAATCTTACCCTCTCCCAACTAACTTCAAAATGCAAGTATTTACTATATTGACTAATTATGTGGTACAGACAACAGAACAAGGCTTCGAATGTCTAAAATAATATCTGAACATCTTCCTCTGGTCCTTCTAATTTTTTTTCTGCCACAGACTTGATACTATCAATCAGAAAATGTTTAAATTCTATCATACAATTATTTACAATTTAATCATATTTTTTCCCTTCACAGTCAGGTAACAAAGACACAACAGAAGCATCTTTGCATATCTCAGTGGGGAAGAAAAGCAAACAAAATCATCCAGGTTATTCAACTAAACCTCAGCAAGGTCTGGGGTGTTTTTGTAAGTAGTGACAGGTAGGGTCCTTTGTGGAAGGCAGCCCCAATACTGTTTAGTAGTTGTGTCACGGAAACCAGTTGAAGCAGAAATAAAAGCACTCTCTTTCACTCTTGCACATGACTAACAATCACAGTGTACACACATTGCCTGCGTGATTGCAAATGCACTTTCAAGTTTAAGTGCTTGTGTCTATCAAATGGGCATCCATGCTCCAGGGTGTGGTCTATTGAGGGCAGGACAGGCTCTGCCTTTAGGGACATTATTCCTTAGCAGGGGCGATGACCTGGGTGCGCACCTCACTCTAAAGCAGGGCCAAGGGTCGCAAATGTCCCAGGGAAGGCTGAAACTGTTGGGGGAAAAAGGGCAGGGAGAGGGGAGGTGGAAGAGAGGCACTGAGAATGCAATCTTATCATGGAATGCAGACATGTTAATATGGGCGCATGTATTAGCAATGACACCAGCCCCACGAATACTGGCTATGAGGGAAACAGCTCCCGTGGAGCACTGTGTGTAGCCATGGGTTTTATTATCCCACAGTGCCATGGGGAGCAGGCATTGTCCTGGCTCCTCACAAACAGAAAGGGAGGCTTAGAAGGTTGCTGCACCACAGTGTTTGCATGTGAACCCTCCAATCTCATCTTTCCACCAACTGCATCTTCCTGCAGGGCTGTTCTGTACACAAGAACTGATCCTAGCAGAGCTGTGCCCCACCCCAGCTTCTGCTCCAAGGAGCCAGCCAACGGCACTTCTCCCACCTTCAGGAAAGAGTGTGTCCTGCTGTTACTACCCATTCCTGACAGGAGATCCTTCCAGAGCCCCTGATCTACGTTCCCATCACAGGTGATCAGGCTGGAGTATGAAGGCCGCACCCCAGTGATCATACATAGCCTCTGTGGACCAGCGCTCCAGGGTGAGGGTATGTTCTTTCTGCATGCCTAGAGGATCAGCTGGGGTGACGCTAGGAAGCACGTGTCCAGCCATCAGCAAAGGCCAGTCCGCTCTGATCTCCTACCCAGAGACCTCTCACTTGCTGATTTTCCCCACTTGCTCTTCCCTCCATTGTATTCTCCCATCACTGCCCTGGACTCCTGTTCAGTCTGCTAAATACCTGCCCATATCCTTAACCAGCGAGTATCCTGGTTCTCACCTGGGCCACACCGCTTAGCAAATGGAGATCTAGTAAGTATGAGGTGAGAGTGAAGACGGAGGGGGCAGCACGGTCCACAGATTGCAGCTCCCAAATGAGCCCCAAGTGCTTGACTTTAAGATTTTAGAGAATTCAGAATTCCTCAGGGATCCAGGACCCCAGTGTCTATGCATGTGGAAAGGGTCCATGAGGCCACTGACGGGGAAGCAAGCACGACAGACAGCAGACAGAGCCCTCAGAAGTTTAGGGGTTCTGAGATCTGCTTCCAGCTCTGCACAGTTCCACAGACAGCTGCTCAGCACAACCAGGAACACAAGTGGTAACTTACAGACATGTGGACAGGGAAGGATGGCCCAGGGATGAGCTTGACACTGGTGGGTCGTACAGACTGTATCTAAAGACAGAAAATACAGCGGAGAGGGACAGGCTCTTGGTGGCCTAGGAGTAGGGTTTGGTGCTCAGAGAGCATACGTTTCAAGATCCCCTTTCATCTTGTCCACTCTTAAGTCTGGGAGAGTCCCAACAGAAGTCACATGGAGGGAAGATGAGGTGAAGGGCACAAAGGCCCACCATGGTGGCACCACCACAGTGAGGCAGGGGGCTGAGGCAAGGCAGGACAGAGGCCCACCATGGTGGCACCACCTCAGTGAGGGAGTGGGCTGAGGGCGGGCGGGATGCACAGCTGGGTGACTGGGGCAGCCACAGGCGACGAGCTCTGAAGCCAGCTCACTTATTAGAGGGTTCAGCAGGGCAGTAAAGAGTCTGGGCTTTGGGTCTGGCCCCGCTCCCTGGCTACTTCTGTGACCGTAAGTAGAGCACACCACCACGGGAAACCTCAGGTTATGTTTCTGTGCAATCGGGATAACAAAATAACCCGAATGAAAGTTCCAAGGAGGGGTAAGTGAGGCGAGGAGACTACATTTGTACAGTTCTGGGCACATGGATAGCTCTTAGTGTTAAGACTATTCATAACAAGTTTTCATTTATTATGAATAGTCTAACCTCTGTCACTTATGGTTGAAATCCAGCTTGCAAGTGACAGAACTGAGATTCAAATCCAGGTCTGTCTTGATCAAAGCCTAAGCTTCTGGGGGCTACAGTTCCCTTGAACCTGGCCTTGTTGTGGGTGTCAGGGCTCCTGGCCGCTGACCACCCTTGAAATCTCCCTCTTCTGTGCCATCATGACTCAGTAATAGGACTTTCCCTCCTTCCGGACCCCTCCACCCCCACCTTGCCACTGTTTTCACCTGCTGGGTCTTTACTCTGCTCCCCATAGACTCACCTGTACTACATGAAATTCTCATTCATGTGTCATTCAGGCCATCCCCTAAAACACTAGCAGGCCACCAGGCCACTAGGCAGACACCAGAAGGCCTCTGTCCAACATGACATCTTAACAGCCCCTTCGTCCTATGACTCTGAACACTCTATGTCCCCATTGCTGGCTCCTTTGCCTTTTCCTGCCCTTAAAGCACACGGATACCCTGCCCCCACCCCCATTTTTCTTCTTGTTCTTTTTTTCCTCTTAATTTATATCCCATTTTGAAGATTAAGTCCACCTCTATGGGAATAGCCATAGGTCCAGTTACAGTCTGTATCCTAAGTTTCCAGGCCAAATGTTCAACAACGGCAGATGCCAGTCAATTATCTAATCAATATTCCCCTCTGATTCTTTACGTGCAGAATCCTGATTTGATTTGCAAGAGCAATTTGCACAGCTAGAAATACTCATTTTTATCCTATAGCCGACCTGAGTTTCTAATGATGTTCCAGCAGTATTGCTCCAAGAACAGTATTTCTGGTAGGACAGTATCACTGTCTGCAATTTCTCAACTTGAAACCTTGAGAAGTGGGGGCAGTTGCCTGATAAATGTTTCCTTCTGAGTGCTGCCTCGGTTTGGGCTTGTCACATGCAGGTGACTGGGATACCAGCAGGGACAGGTTTTACCTTTCAGCAGAGTCTACTGGTGATGTGCTTCTGTTTTAAACTTCTAATTCATTTTATTTTTGTCTTAACAAGAACATCAAGTGAGGTTTGATCTCAAGTTAAACACTGTATTTTGTTTTCTCTCTTGAAGGGGTATGTATGCTTTAATTTAGCACTAAAGCATCACATCCATTAAGGAAAACACTGAAGCAGAGATGTATGATCCCATGGGAAGCTATGAAACAAGAACTGACTAAACTCAGGAGAAAAAAAGAGTTAAAATAATTTCAGAGATGAAGCTCCATTATAAGGAAGCAGAGAGAAAACAGGTGCAGATACCACAGCAAAAAAACATAAAGATCAAAATTAGTAAAGTGAACAAAATGAGACAGAAATAAACAAAAGGTTACAGGGGAAACGGTAGACAGAGATTACAGGTGAAAGAAATGCCACATATACATCATTGGAGCTCAAAATAAGAAAGCTATGATTAAAAGGGACAGCATTTTTCTTATCATATGGAAGTAATTTATTATTCCCTTATCACCAGGCAAACTCAA